TTTTTTCTTTTCTAAACAGTCCAAACAGTTACATAACAGAGAAAACCACAAGATACAAGACACAACAGAGAGGACACAGAGTTCTCTCAATATACACATTTCCAAGGGTTTCAAGTTTTCACAAATGCATGCTTCAAAAACAGTAACAAGATTACAGAACACTGTTAGTAATCCCACCATGTTTTATACCATACTTCTATAAGAAAATCTGGGGCCAGGGAAATAGCTCAGTAGAATAAGCGCTTGCCTGTCAAGTGCAGGGTCCCAAGTTCAATCCCCGGTACCACACACACAAAAAAAGAAAATCTGCCAACCAGGTCACATCCAAGTTCCATACAACTAAATGATAAGCAGAAGAAACAGAGAAAGAAAAACAGAAATTAATATTCAAATTCCTTTAATTGAGAAATACTTTTGCATTTCATTTTTAATGATATTTAAGAAACTAGTTATATCAATTGCTCTGCTTCAAAAAGCTTAAAAACTACTTCAAAGGGCCTTCATGATAAAATCATTTAGTCCCCAAACACTAATAGCCAGTTCCAATTCAAAAGGTATTCTGAAGAGATAGTTATGATTTTTGTGACTTCTATATCAAAAATTCTGTTACAAACACAGAAGTAAGCTGCCCAACCATGTTTACAACTTTTTTAAAAAGTCCTTCTTAGCATAGTGATATGGGATGGCAGCCAGGATATACATGGAACAGCAAGTGCAGTACGCCGCCATTTGTGGAATGAACTACTCCACATGCCTGTAAATGCACAGACAATCTCTACAAAGACACTCAGGAACTCAAACGTGGTTACCTGGGCAAAGGGACACAAGGTGGCCAGCAGATGAGGAGGAAGACTTACTTTTCACTGCATATTCTTTTTTACTTTTTAAATTTTGCACCATGCTTATGTACTTAGCAAAAGACAATTTTTAATTGAATAAAATCAAAGCAAAAGAGCATTCCACACAACAACAAAAAGTCCTAAGGTCCAACTTAAGTATAGCAATCCCATTATCTGGGAAGTCTCTTTTTAGGCTCAGTAGGAAAGTGAAGGGCCTGCACAGTGAGTACAGCCTGCAGTATGTAACTGCAACTCAGCACTGCTTGCGGACTGACTCAATCAGAATGACCACAAGATACCTGAGCAATATTTAATTCCTGACCTACAAGGAAAGGCCAATTAGAATTGCCCCTTGGTGTACCTAGGGGACTGGTTCCATAGCCTGTGCAGACACCAAAAATCCCCACATGCTCAAGTCCTATCTTCCTGTTCACTTCAGGTCATTTCTAGGTCATTAATACTCACTACAATGTGAATGCTATGTAAATACTGGTTATACTGTATTGTTTAGGCCTAAAGACAAGAAAAAAGTCTGCACATGTTCAGTAGAGATCCAACATTTTTTTCTTGAATATTTTTTTTCCCACACTCTGTTGAATCTGTGGATGTGGAGCCAATAGATACACAAGGCTGGCTGTACATCTGTAGTTAGACAAGTTGCTAAATCCCAATGGAATAAATGTGAAATGACATGCTAAAAAAAAGTGAAGAATTGAGAAGATTTTTTTTTTTTTTTTTTGTGGAACCGGGGACTGAACTCGGGCCCTTGCGCTTGCCAGAGAAGCATTTACTCCACTGAGCCATCTCCCCAACCCCAAGAATGGTAGTCTTATCTTTAAGAAGTATTGCTTCTGTTATTTTAATAATTTTTATTAAATTAATATTATGCAATTTACCTTCAGCCTATGAAGTTTACAATTCTGAGAAATTATAAAGTTAGTGTTTTGCTAAATTTTGAGTTAGATGACATCCATAGTTTTCCAATTATGGCGTAAGGGAGCCTGATATCCTCCATTACCATTTCTGGTGGTCATCGAAAGTTCTTAATTTTTTTTTGAAGACCTCTTTTTAAGAAAAAGTAAAATCAGTCAAAGCAAAGGTAGCTCATTAAATAACTTTTTTCATATGTAAAAAACAGCTGCTTGCACTGCAATTTACTGTACTTACACCTGAGTAGCTTCACCACTATTCATAGCTCCCTTAATTTGACTTTTCTTATAGAATTATTTATACAGTATAAACTTGTATAAAATTTACTCTTTCATATTAAGATTTTCTCTGAAAACCAAAGATTATGCACATATAACATACTTCTTAAATTTTTCCCTTTTAAAAATACTCTACTTGTTAACAGCAGTACTGGCTGGTTTGAAGCCTTCATTTTGCCACAGGCATCATTTTGGTGGAACTGTGAAACAAAATTTGGCAAGAGAGTGGATACCCCTGAACAGAGTATGCTGGACCTCCACCTGGAAGTACTACTCAGCAGCTCTGCCTTTTCCAGGGTCCTATAGTAGAAAAACCCTGTGTAACTTGCTATCACAACAGTGAGAGACTTTGATTTCTGCATGGGGATCTGGGATTTGGGTTTCCCTCCCTGACTGTCCAAGAAATAACAGTAAAAGCAGAAATAATCTACACTAAAAGTAATAGCTCTGTCATGGAAGGGAGGGCTTATTGAGTGGATAGCAGTCACCACAGACCAGCAATCCAACTTTCAAAGAGGCTGCTCTTGTGCAGAGGAAGACTTCAGTCAGTAAGTCTCCAGAAGCAACTAAGAACATCACAATCCTTTTTTTTTTTTTTTTGCGGAACCGGGGATTGAACTCAGACCCTTGCACTTGCCAGGCAAGTGTTTATTCTACTGAGCCATCTCCCTGGCCCCAAAGGGCAGAAGGATTTTTTTTTTTTTTTTGCCTCAGGATGCCTTCAGGGAGGTCTGGTTTGGCTTAAGGAATTAAACCATAGCATCCCGAGCCTCACTGCTTTGTATAAACAGGCACTTAAACAACTGAGCTAATGGGCAGGCCCCTGAACATCACAATCCTACATTTAGTTTCCATTCACCTACACTTGCCTCTGGAATGACTGGTGTAGCCTTGAATAATCAGTTGCAAGCTCTCTGCAGTTCTTTAGAACTCTTCAGTACATTAACGTGTGTGTCACTATCCTTTGCACAGAGGAAGGAGAAAAGGAAAACAAGAGCAAGGAGAAAAAAATGAAAGACAACGTTATAAATTAAGGTTTGTTTCACATAAAATTTGTATTTGGCGCTATTCCTCCCTACCATTGGTGCTTAAGAGAGAAATGAGCAAGAAACAGACAAAAATTCCTCCTTCCCGCTGCGGAGTATCCTGTACTTTATGGTCAGCTAACTTCAAAATGAAAGGAGCTATGAAGATGTGGAATCAGAAGAGAAATCTGAGTCCTTCCCTTTTTCTTTTTCAAAAATAATTTTAGATGCTATAACATTAACACATTATATTTAAAATAATCCAACTCTACTCTATGCTTGAGGGAATTATCAAAAATTGATTCCTTGATCCTATACTGTTAAAGAAGGAAGCATTTACCTACAGACTAGGTTCTAACATCAGCATACAAGGTAAAGCATGACAATACTCCAAATTACTACTGAAGATTCCTCAGCAAAACATTTGCTGGAAACCAGCATACTTCTCACTAAGTGGAACAGTGAACAATCCAACAAAGCGGAAGGGATTTGGACCAGGTTGTACAAAAACAATGTGTGTCTCCACATACAAGAATTGCTTTTAGGTACTCACTCTTGTGAAAGGCAAGTAAAAAGTGGGCCCAAACAAGGAATTTTAGGTCTGCAATTTCTCAAGAATAAACTCAAGATGACCTGAACCTTGTAAATCGTTGTCCTACCCCTTTCTTTCTCTCTCCTTCTGAATCTCGGATTGGGAGGGTGAGGGTACTGGGTTTCAAGGATGTATGCAATGGGTGGAAAGACTACACAATGCTAAAGCAGTCTGCAGAATAACTGCCCTGATAGAGCTGCACAACACTGATGACATACCAAAATTTGCACAAAGTTCCAAGAAAATTATATTTCCTTCTTCCATATGAAAGAAATCTAACACAGGTAAGCCATCCAAGACACAACTCAAGTAAAATTAAGACAGACCTTTTCAGTAAGTAAACACATCTCTGCTTCTACAATATTTTAAGTTATACCCATAAATATAGTATATAAACACTGCCAATTAGAAATTCAGTAATAAACACCATACTCCGTAGGAATATTTTTCAAAAGTAAGGGAAAGGATAATGATGGGAAAGAAACCAAATAAATGTAAGCATGTGGGTTTCAGGAACACCTGATCATATCAATATTTATCTAAAAACTAATGGGAAATTAGTAACAATAACTTTCAGCTCATTTCTGAATTCTTTCTGTGAGACATCCAAAAAGAATTATTTAAAATCTGCCCATGTTTGCTTCTGAGGAATTTTTTAAAATGTTTACCATAATTAAAGGATCCTTAAAATACAGGATTATTTACTTAGCACCAGAGACTATTTCACATACTCACAGATTGTTTGCTAAGAAAATAAAACGATTCTCTCCAAAAAGCTCCCACAACCTTTTCTATTCTGTGTTCTGAGAACTTAAGCCATGAAAGAAAAAGGTAAAAGGATAATTGTAGTCCTAGAATTAACTATTTCACAAGATTATATCACAATAACATCTTTAGTCTAACATAATCAGTATTCTATATTTATTGTCTGCACAAAACCATAATTACTCGTTGATTTGATCAAAATTACTCTGCTGACTCAAGCAATTCAGCCAGTCAGCCAGTCTTCAGGGTAATTAGTCAAATCAACATCTATCAAAATGACTAATAAGTATCTGACTCATGGATTAGACTCTCTACAACATCACAGCAATTCACAGATTCAATTCCAAAACCTTGGTTCATCTTGTTTAACCCACACACTACACCTCATAATTTAATTTACACTGTACACCATTGAGTTTTTCTTCCTATCAAGGTAAAAAAGGAAAGTAATAACAAAAACCAAAGTCCAAAATTCAATTAAATCAGTCCTTTTTCAAAAATATGAGGATGTGGGGTGTTTGTTATGGTATGAGGGGGGAGTACTCAAAAATAAAGAAAAATGAATTCTTACCAATCAAACCACTTCTTGGTATCTCACATTCCATTAAAGGCTACAATGCTGTTGATCTGATGCCAAACACCTCTAAAATGTTCTTAGAGTATGTTTTGTGAAAAGAACAAGGAAGGCAATATATTTAACGGCTGGAGAAAATTTTCTTCCATTTACCAAGGTCGGTGAAACATCCATCATACCAAGAAGCGAACACCTTACAGAATAAAAGATCAGAGGAACTAGATAAGTAGAGGATCAAAGAGCCAGTTCCACTCAGGGAATCAAACAAATAACTGAACAAATCCCCTTGTGATTTCTCTACTAAATCTAGTTTATATGATTGGTTTTTTGTTTTGTTTTGTTTTTTGGGTGGAACCGGGGATTGAGCTCAGGTCCCTGCACTTGCCAGCAAAGTGCTTATTCTATTGAGCCATCTCCCTGGGCCTAGTTTATGTGATTGGGAGTAGAATCACAAAACAGAATATGTTATCCAAACAAAAATGTGTTTAAAAAACAACTAATTCTACCTTGGCTCACTCTCTCTGGAGAAAAAACCATTTCAAACTCATTAACCACACAGTATAATGAAAGTTTTAAAACAACAAAAATGTTCAAATTACCTCCACACTAACTACAACTAAGCATATAAAATCATCTACTCCGCATAAAAGCACAGCCAGTAGAATGGATAACATACCCAGTAAATGCTTGTGAAAAGTGTCACAAGGAACTGGATGCACTTCACCAGCACCCTCACATCTACCTGCAGCTTCTTGGGCTAAGGAAAGCACTCTGTCCATCCCTGTCACATGTACAATTCAGAGAACTTGTTATTAAAAGTTGAAGGGGATAAAATTCAAAGCAGAAATAGAACATTCCCAGTCTAATTTTAGTAAAAAATTTCTCTGGTTGCAACATCAAAAACAGTATAATAGCTGGGCATGATGGTACACACACATAATCACAACTACTCAAAAGGCTGATGCAGGCTGGGGAGATAGCTTAGCAGTCTAAGTGCCTGCATGGCAAGCGCAAGGAACTAGGTTCGATCCCTGGTACTGCATGCCATGCAGACCCTGGAACCCTGGGCACACTCTGCCAGCCTCAAAACAGAGCATATTGGTGCATGTCTGTAATCCCAGTGCTGGGGAGGCTGAGACAGGAGGATCACCATGAGTTCAAACTGTGTAGTGAGGACTCTGCACCAAATAAATAAGTAAACAATCTTTTTAAAAAGGCTGATGAAGAAGGATCATAAATTCAAGTCCAGCCTGGACAAATTACTAAGACTATCTCAAAACATGAAATAAAAGGACTGCTGGTGTAGCTCAGTGGTAGAATGTTTGTCCCAAAGTTCGATCTCTAATACCTGCTCCCAAAAAGCTGAACTAAGTGCCTATCTTTACCTCTTTACTAATATGTTTCGTTTCTAAATTTCATAGTTTACCTACATCACCCAACAACAACATGCAGGTTTTGAAGTACTTACTCGAGAACCAGACTGAGGTCTTTTTGAGAATAGGGATCACAATCTTTCACTACTCAAGAGCTGATGCAACAGGTATTTAACCCAAGTGCCTAAGATGTGCAGGGTGGAACATGTGAATAAACAGCTTCACTGTGGGAAGGTAACAGCAATGGCCACCAGAGAAAAGGGAGGGCTGCAGAGGACGGAGCCCATGCTCTGCGCCAGGTCCTGTGCTACATTGCATACTCGCAGCCACCAACGAAGAGAGCAAATGGCATTGCCAACTTCTAGATGAAGAAGCCAAACGTTAGAGAAAACAATGGTAATATAGCAAAGAAGCAAGAATCCAGAGCACTGGAAGGATGAATGCAAGGAAAGAGTCAATCTGCAGCCACAGTGAGGAGAAAAGACCAGGAAAGCCTCACCAAGAGCAGTTCCTTCATCAATACCATGTCTGGAGAAGTATATATCTGAGGATGACACAAGTAAGCAACTTACCTAAGCAAATGAGAACGCATTGGTGAAAACATAAGCACCTACAGCCCAGCTCCAAATGAAGTATTTTTCTGCTTGTTTTCTGGCTAGCTTGCTAGCTAGAAAAGTGTTGTAGAATTTGTGCCTATTACAAATCCAACTTTTTTTTTCCTGTATTTTAGGACAGGGTCTACGGGGTCTTTAGGGTCTCACTATTAGATCGGATTCATAGTGATCCACTTGCCCAGGGGGGGGGGGGGGGGGGTAGGAGAGGAGGCACATGGCAGGTCCAAAGATTGAACTCCTAGTCCCTGTGTCTGCCTAACCAGGCACTTTAATCTGCTGAGCTATTTGGCCAGGCTTAAAAATCCAACTTTTAAAGAGATTAAAAAATTGAAAATAGAAAAATTATGGCTTGGGCTGGCCAAATAGCTCAGCAGATTAAAGTGCCTGCAAGCAGGGACAGAAGCCTAGGGTTCAATCCCTGGGTCTGCTGTGCCAGCCTCACCCCCGGGGCACACTGAGATGGCAATTAAGACTGGGCATGGTGTCACATGCCTGTAATCCCAGCTCTTGGGAGTCTGTAAACAGGTGACTCACTACTAGTCTGATCTAGTTATGAGACCCTGAGCACCCTGCAGACCCTTTCCTAAAAATACAACGAAAGAAAGAAAAATTATGGCTTGAAGAAGCTGAAAGACTACCCAACTAGGCACTGCTATCATCACAAGGTATTACTCAGTCGTGGTTGTGAACACTTGGGGATTTTTAACAACTACTGGGGAGAACAACCTGCTCGGGACCCCTCCTCTCCCTCTCTTAGACAGGAGCTTTCTTTCCCTCAATAAATATATTCTGCTCATAACCTCCATTTGTTCCTAAAATTCATTCTTTGGTTTTAGAGAACACAAACTCATACAGGTCAGGTCAGGTCAGATCATTTTTCCCCTATATCATTTGGAGGTTCCCTATATCATTTGGAGGTCACCCACCCAAGATTAGTTTTTCTCCCTGTATCATTTGGAGGCTTCCACCGAGATCATTGGATGGAGGTATGAGTTTGATTTGCTTTCATAATTCTGAATTGGGACTTGCTTAGGTAACAAATTTTTATGCTTCAAATGTTGATATATCTTTGCCCATTGCTCATAATTGTTCACGCTTTGCATCATACAGTTTTGTCTCATACAGTTTGGTTAAAACTGCTTATAATTGCATATGCTTTGTCTTTATGTAGTTTTGTTAAAATGCTGGTCAAAATGTTGTTGGTAAATCTAAATTAAAATATGGAAATGTTATAAGGATATGATATTTCTCTGATAGGACATTTTATGACTATTTTGTACTTGTACCTGTTGCATTTGAACTAGATGCTAAACGTACTGGTATTCCTTGATTTTTTTTTGGGGGGGGTTTGATATTCTTTTTTTTTCCCATAAATTTATTGAGAAACAAATAGTAATGAGACAGTTTCAAACCAAACTGGTAGGACAGTTTCAATAATTAATACATTGTATACATTCTTCCTAGTGGTTAATTGCTATACAAGATGCAGACATGATATCCTACTTACAAACACCATTAGAATAAATCCCTCTATTCATTAAGAGAATGTAATTGTATATTGATCCTAGCCATTTGAATACACAGATACAAAATGGACATTCATCTGCATCCCCTTTTTGTTGTTAATTTCCATTATTTGAATATTACAGGTGTGTAAACTCAGCAAAATATTCTAAAAGAGTCCAGCAGCCCATAATAGTATTGGGTCTTCTGCTTGACTGGCAATGTCAGAAATTGTTGACCTGAGTCCTTGCTTGATTTTAGAAAATAGCACTAGAGAGTAAAGTTATAAAGCCTCCTAGTGGATTTTATGCAAATTTATGTAAAATGGGACTTTCAGCCAGCTCAGACTTAGAAAATATACATGTCTGTGTATGAAGCATGGGACTCCTTTTGCCAGTTAAATGACATTAGGTCAACAACCGTTCTTAAAGACTTGGAGGACAGGGTTCACTGGGATAGACTGGTTCTGATCCCCCTTTACATGCTAGAGGAAATGTCAGGCCTGATCTGTTTCAGTTTCCTTTCTTTGACCTTACTTCTAATTTTCCTACCTCTTTACTTTCCTTTTTAGAGGAATGTAAAAAGTGCACAAGTTAATCTGGTTGATTTCTGATGTAACTCAGGCATTTCATGCTCATAGTTAATACAGGTGTGATGTCTTTTAACTAAAGCTAGAGAGACTTATAGCAAACTGTCAGACTCCATGAATAAATGGGACTAAGAGCTAGTGAGCTACTATTGCTAGGTCTCAAAAAAGTTTACAAATGTACCTGTAAGCTCAAATGTTCATGCTTTAATTATATGTGCTCTAATTTCTCAGAAAGTTTGTTCTTTCCTAGAAGATAAAGCCCAGCTAATCATACAGGCAAAATCTATAACAAATATGCTAGATTAAGATTCCTTTAACTAGAATCCACCAGACTTTGTCTATAGAGACACATATTAAGGCTTTAATTAGCTGTCCACCTCATATAGCCCAGGTGAGCTGACCCTTCTCCGCATTTCCTGCCTTATTACAAGAGAAGTTGCTCTCACGTTCCTTGGGCAGGGATACCTGCACGAGGCCTTAAACCCGAAAAGCTTTATCTTGCTCAGTATACTCCAGATATCTGACACAAGCGCAGAAGTTAAAAGGGTTTACAGAAACAAATTTGTCTCAGTTGATAAAAATTGCTCAAAAAGTATTTCATAGTAAAAAGGATACAAAATAAAATTATAGACGGAAAATAAAAATAGTAATACTAGCATCCTATAGGAATGAAGGCCAATAGGAAAAAAAGTCATGCTTCCCTGGATCTAGACAGAGAGAAGGGATGTTTCAAGGAAAAATGTTCAAAGCTGCTAGAGAAGGGAAAAAAGAAAGTGTTCATGATGGAGTGAGAGAAAGTTTCAGATTAATAAGATCATGAGTCTTTACCTCTCAGCCTAAAGGAAGCCATGTTAACTGCCAATATAAGGAAAAAGCCCATTAGACGTTTGATAAAAGCTCATGCAGATTTGTTGGTAGTTACCCAGCTGGTGGCCCCACGTACAAACTGGAGAGTACTTGGTGTTTTCCCTATTTCTGGCAATTCATATGCCACAAGTAATAATAGAGTTGGTGAGATATAAAAGGCCAGTTTGTTTGAGACAATACGCAATGGCCATAAAAGATAGAAAAAAGGGATTAAACCTCACATTTAAGAGATCTCTGCCAATTGACCTACAAAAATTTCTAACTAGTGTTTTTATATACCGAGGTCCCCTAGACCTCCGTATTCCGCCTTCAGAGGGGGAATGTTGTAGGCAGCCGAGTTAGATAGAAATATTATAGGCAGTCAGACAGGGCCAGGCCCTCGAAGGAGATAGCACAAAAGACAAGCTACCTTACAACTGTGGGAGGGACAGCTGCTCCTGCTGTAAGCCAGACTTAAAGCAAATAAATGCTAACCTCCCTAAAGAATAGCATCCGGGATTGATCATTACTCTGCAAAAGCCAAAAAGAATCCTTATCTGATAGCTACCAGATAAGGTCCTGTTTTATATTCATTCCCCCTTGCTACATCAGTCACTCCCTTCCCCAATGGTCCCAGACTTAATCAATTTCACCTGAGCAATGGTGCTTGTAATCCCATTGGTTGACCACAGTTTTGTCCCACCCTACATCCACCTAAGCAAGTTCCCCCTTTCTCCACCTTAGCCCCACATGGTTTTACATTATAAAAGTCCCTGGAAGAGGCAGCTTCTGGGGGAACAACCCACTTGGGCCCCCCTCCTATTCCTCTCTTAGACAGGTGCTTTCTTTCCCTCAATAAATATATTCTGTTCATTAAAAAAAAAAAAAAAAAAAAAACAACTACTACTGATGTTGGATTTGTTGGTTAGGTTTTTTTATTTTCTTTTGTTTTTTGGCTTGAACAGGGTCTAGCTATACAAATGAAGTCCAACTGAGCCAAGCATGGTGGCACAGACCTGTAATTACATTTGGGAGGTTGAGGCATTAGAATCCCAAATTTAAGCCCAGCCTGGGAAACTTAGCAAGACCCTGTCCCAAGATTTTAAAATTTTAAAAGAGGTATAATTATAACCTAATACAAAGGCCCTGGGTCTAACCCCTAGTACAAGAACAAGAAAGTGTAACTGGTTAGTAGTTCCAATAAATGTTATAAACAAAATTAATTATCCTGCCGGCAAAAATGAAAAAAAAAAAAAAAACTAACACAAACTATTTAATATATCCCAATTCATCACTTCCTTCTAGGAGAGGTGACAGACAAGCGGAGGCAAACTTATGGCATACTGCACTGTCTGTGTCACCAGAAGCTCACCATCATTAGGATATACTAACATCTATTGAGAGATTTAGTGCCCAAATGTTGACTGAAACATTTTTGTGTTTTTGTAACTATTTATGCTTTTCTATAATTATCTATACAACATAAAAATATGCACTCCCTTAAATACAATTTCAGGTTTCTAATCATTAATCCTCACATTAAATTCCTCCTGTGCATCAGATTCCAGAATCTTGTTCTCATAAAATTTCTGTAAACCATTTTCATCTTCACCCTGCAACATGGCCCCAGACTGTTCTTTATATAATTATAATACAAAGCATATTCTTGTGTGTGTGCTTTATGGATCTATGACTTAGCAAAGTTTGGAATTTAATGCTAGAATAAATTACATCATGAACTGGGTAAATTTTATAGGAAAGGTGGTTCTATTTTTACAGACAATGTATCAAACCTTCAACACAAACACACACACACACATACTTGTTAACAGATTACATCCTGTATAACTTCCTGTCTACCTTAAGACTATAATGATCACAGTGATCATATCTGATGACCATCTTTTCACCTTCCCCTCACCTTTTACTGAATTTCATGAGTTAACAAAACTGCAATGGATGCTGAGATATCTGCACCCCCTGCCTCCAGGTCTGACAGACAGATTTTCCCAGCTGTGCAGAGTACTGTGGGCTGCCAGCCTTTTCCAAAACTTCCCTCTAATGATGGAAGCTACTCTGCCCAAGATTCTGCCTTGCCCTGCCAGTAGCCCACACCCATGACTAAGGCATGTGTGACGTCTCTCACTCCAACTCAGGGGCACTCCAAAGAGCCATCCAAGCTCCCTTGAGGACTCTAGTCAGGCCTCCAGAGAGACTTCCTGAAACCCATCTCTGCCCTCTGCATAGGCCACTCCCTTCTCTCCACTTCAGAGAGCAGCCCTTATAACTAACTTGTTCACACAAATATCCATCTCAGAGCCTGCATGCCAGTTTGGCAATACACACTACCCTATCAGTCAACAAAGAAACATACCCAAGGTTATTAAAGATACTTTAAAAATATTTCTAAAAATTATTCTTTTAAGTAGTACAAGCCTTTGACCAGAGAAAAATGACTACCTTTCCCTGGCAAACCCACAAAAGGTTGGTTCAATATGTTCAGGGGTTCTTCAATACATTCAATCATTGTTTTCTAATATTCAGTCTTTATAACTCTGATTATCAGACCCATCTTAAGAATTAACAAAGTATCTTTTTATGTTATACGACATATAAGCCTCTTACCATTTGAAAAATATTTATGCTTTATATTAGGCTATTAGGTGATTTTGTTCATTTAAAAAAAATAAATACTGATGACCTGGAAAGCAAGAAAAATACCCCGCAAAACTTTTTCAGCACCCCCATGACTCCTTTTCAGGAGCTGGACATGTAGCTCAGTGGTAGAGCATATGCTTTGCATAGATAGGCTCTAGGTTTGACTCCTAGAATCAAAAATGTTTTAAAAATCCAAAGATTGAATATTCTAATTACAAAAGGTGGTAAGGAGGAAGAGAAAAGATACTTTTTATCTCTATTTTATCACATACTTCATCTTCCTTACAAAATAGCTATTCTTAAGCTATGGGAAAAAGTATCTGTCCTCTGCTATATGCATTTTAAGGGAAGTATGTTTTCAAGAAACTGGCACACCAATTAAAAGTCTCTCAGGGGCCAGCCAGATAGTTCAGAGGATTAAAGTGCCTGCTTAGGCAGGCTCAGGGACCACACAGAGGTTCAATCCCGGGTGTGCTCTCCCCCCCCCCCCCGCCCCGTCCCGGAGCACACTGAGAGGACAAATGAGACTGGGTGTGGTGGTGTGTGCCTGTAATCCCAGCGCTTGTGAGGCTGAAAACAGGAGGATCACTATGAGTTTCATCTGTGTAGTGAAACCCTATAGACCTTGTACTAAACATATTTAAAAAAAAAAAAAGCATTACAAAAGTCTCTCAGGTATTTCCAAAGCAGTTATTATGGTGCAGTACAAAGAACCCTGGACCAGAGTCCAGAATTCCTGGTCCCAATGCTGGTACAGATATTGACCTGAGGCATCTCAATGATAAGATTCTACCAGATTAATAATTAGAGAACTGGTTGGTTAGTCTGAGGGTTCCCACTGAAATCCCACCTCACCCCTTACTAACCATATGACCATGGGCAAGACATTAAACCCCATCATATATAAAACATATGACATCTATCTTGTGGGGTGATGAAAGAGATTAAATGTGATAGTGTGCTTGGCATCTGCTATTTTCCCATCTGTGTTTACTGGAACCCAAGAGCTTTGAAAAAAGCAGCACTTTGGACACATTAAAAATAATGATTAAAACTCTGTTGATTCATTGCTTTTGCCAGGTTTATGTTCTGGATATCTATAGAAGATTTTGTTCAAAACTAAAACTGAAAGTCTAAGAAACTCCAAGGCCAGTGGATTAGATGATTTTATAGCTTTAAACTGCAACTGTCAGACAATCCTTGGCCCACACCTTTCACTTGGAGCTGACATTTACATGCTAAAGTGGAGAAGCATGCCATAGGTGCTTCAGAGATGGTCTATATCTGCAGCCTTTTCTGCTACTTTTCACACACACAGGATGTAATAATGGCCCACAGTCCTCAATGCCAATTCTGCAGGGGACAAGACATAGCCAATGAATGGCACCACTGTGCAGGACCATGACACTGTTCTCTCCTGGTTTCTGAAAAACAAAACAAAATAATCACTCAAATTGGAACAGCCAACTGAAGAAAGAACTGCCACACAGTTTTCAAAACAAAGAACCAGTGACAAGGCACAGGTTGGATATACCAGAGCTCATGAAGTGGGGACCAAAGGCACTGTCTTTGTCATTAGAACCTGAGGCCTTGATTACCTCCTGGTTCTGAGGCCTGTCCACTGGGAGAACGAAGTCTAGGCTCTGAAAAGACAGCAGGGATAGGGAAGGAGCTCAGTGGGAGAGTATTACTTAGCATGCTTGTAGCCCTAGGTTCTACCCCCAGCACTGCAAGAGCAAAGACATGGTATCAAATAGTTGTTTTTTGTAGGAAAAAATGTGTTATCAAATTTGAATATTTTCATGGTCATTTCTTCATCACGCTATATCTACACATTAATGATCAAGCCAAGTACTCCCTCCCTGCTTTCCCATGGTGTTTCAGATCCAATCACAGCAGCCATATTTTTCAGTCCTTGGTAATTAAGATTTCTTATTCCCCCAGTATTGGCTCAAATGTCTCCACAACCAGAAAGCATCCCCAGAACTTGTCTTTTTGCCCAGAAGACTCACAAACTCCACATTTGTGCATCATTTTGTTCACAGCTATATATTCAATACCATGTACAAAGCTTGTGACATACTAGGCCCTTAGGAAATATTTAAGTGAAATAATGAATGAACATATAAGTAGATAAAAGAAAGAGGAAGTTGTTGTGTCAAAAATTTAAACATAATTTTACCTATCATATCTATGATGTTTAAATAATAATAATATATTCTCAAAAGATGAATGGGATAATTATTAAAGTTAGTTAGTTATCTTTTAAAAGTTCCTTTTCACCAGATGTGGTGACATATGCACACTTGTAATCCAGCATTTGAGAGGCTGAGGCAGGCCAATCAATCACCATGTGTTCAAGACCAGCCTCAACTATATAGCAAGACCCTGCCTCAATCAATCAATCAATGTTCCTTTTCATTCCAGGCATTGTGATATATGCTTGCAGTCCCAACACTAAGGAGACTGAAGTAGAAAAATTGCAAGTTCAAGGCTAGCCTGAGCCACATAGTGAGATCCCGTCTCATAAAAAAAAAAAAAAGAAAAGAAAAGAAAAGGGCTGGCCAGATAGCTCAGTGGACTAAAGCTCCTGCTTAAGCAGAGTATAGCAGCCAGGGCTCAATCTCTGGCATGCCATGCCAGTTCCGCCCCCGGGGTGCACGTCTGTAATCCCTGCGATTGAGACTGGGCATGGTGGTGCACACCTATAATCCCAGTGCTTGGGAGGCTGAAAACAGAAGAATCACTATGAGTCCAATCTACATAGTAAGACCCTGTGTACCTTGTACTAAATACATAAAAAAAGAAAAGAAAGAATTCCTTTTCAAAGTTTCTCACTCCAAAACATTAAATAATATTAAAGCATTTGTCTACTGGCAAAGTCAAGAAGTTTTACAAAGCAGGCTTTCTTTTTGGTTATTTTTACTAGAAAGTTTTAATTCATCAAGACAATAAACTAATAACATCTTTGGTTCCCAGTTAACCATAGGTAATAGAGGTAAATTATTCTGAGACTAGGAAGAGTAAGGAGATATTCTACCTTTTTAATTTTAGTCCTATTAGGAGTAATGGTGAGATAAGAATTGAACATAAGCACACAGCCTTAATAGTGTTGTTATTAACCTTTCATAGCTTAATCATTATAGTATTAAAAAAATGAGACATCAAGTCATTGCATTTGCTTTTCATTTCATGTTACTGATAAATAAAACCATTAATATGTGCTATTTAGACCTTCCTGAGAAAGCCAGTGTTGCAAAGCATACTAAGGGCTGTGAGCACTTCCACACTTGATAAACCATAGACGAAGGCTGCATTAAGAGAATGACTCACAGAACAAGCTCCAGGAACAAGACTAAGTTAGGTTGAACCCATTTCTATGGACAAGCCCACTACTATATCTTGTCTCAACATCATAGGAGAGAAAGAAAAGAGCTGATCACATCCAGAGCTGATCACCACCACCCAAATCCATGATTCAAAAACTCGTATTAGCAAAAGACATTAAATGACCTCACACAACCTGAAATCTTTGTCTATAGTATCTCAAAGGACCACACTGTATTTCAAGTTCTCCTTGTCACACTCTTTTCCTGTAATTTAGGTTACTACTGGCACCTGGGAAGTTCTATATGAAAAGGAGGATTTTTTTTCATCTTTTTTAATGGTTTACACAGATTAATGGGTTTCATAATGGCAAATTTGTACTAACACATAACACTATAATCATTTTCAACCTTGTCACTCCTTCCTTTCTTCTAGTTTTAATATTCATTAATATATTTCATTTGACTGTCTGATTAGTTCACCAAAATCCCTTTACTTGTGCTCAAAGAGTTGAAAACGTTGATTATTATGTTCTATGGTCATAGGTTGTACCTCCAAACTTGGCCACTATAAAGGAGCCAAATGGAGATCCAGATAGAATAAGGTAAAGGAAGAACAATGCAACACAGCAAAAAAAAAAAAATCACTGAGTTTGAAAACTGGAAACCTAATAGTCATTGTACTTTATATCAGCCATACAAACTTCAGTAAGTTACTGAACCTCACTTCCTTTATCTTCAAAATATGGACTTATAGTGCAAAGTCATGAGTTTGATACCCAGTACCAAAAGGGAATGGGTTATAATAAGTGATTTTCATAATCAATAGTTTCTAAATCTTAGAATTCTATACAGCACATCATATCAGTGCTGAAAATCAAACACATGAGCACTCATGGAGTAATATGTCGTATTAGCCTAGCATACTTTAGGCTCAATGCAGTTGAAACAATGACCTTTGCCTTGTATTACCTATTTCATTAGCAAAACCTTAACAAAATTTTAATAGCCAACAAATACTATGAAGCCAGATACAGTAGTATATGCCTAAAATACTAGCACAAGGAGGTTGAGAGAGAAGGATCAATGTTCAAGGCTAGTCTGAGCTAGGTAGCAAGATTCTGATTTAACCAAAAAAGAGGGAAGTATGAAATCCTGACATCCCACTACACAGAAAGCAATAAATTGGTACAGTCTTTTGAAAGCAATATTTCATATACACCAGAAATCTTTTTAAGGTCACAGCCTCTGACATTTCATTACAGAAAGGTTTAGATTCATTAAGAAAATTGAACTAAACAGTGTGTCCACAACAGACTAAGCAATGAAATTGTTTGCATTCTAAGGCAAGCCTGGTGGTGCACATTTTACAATAGCAGCTATCCCAGAGGCTAAAGGAGGATATCAAGTTCAATTCCAGATTGGGCAATTTATAAAAATGTTGTGTCAAAATTAAAAAAATAAAAAGAGTTAAGGATGTAACTTAATGCTCCCCATCAGGTTCAAACTCTGGTACTACAAGGAAAAAAACTTCGAATTCTATAATGGTGACTTAAAATAATATTTAATGATACAGGCAAATTTTCAGCCTATACAAATAGTCAGATGAACACTAATATACATAACCTTTGTTGGATATAAAGTGGTATATGCCCTATATCATTATGCACATATGTATAGAATTTATAAATAAGAAAGATGGATGACCTATGAATAAGAGTTAACTCCACATATATTTTACTGTCTTCTTTGCCATTTCTATATTCCAAATTCTGTATGGCAGCATGTGGTAGTAAGTGATTTTTTTTCATCTCTGTACAGGACTGAAAAATACCAAACAATGAAGCCTTGCCAAACTCTGCCTATTAAAATATTCAGATCAAGATTAGAAAGATGCAGACATGACTACAAACATACTCAGCCACCTTATCTTTGATAAAAGGTTCAAACAAGTTCATTGGAAGAAAACCCCTTTAATGGTGCCATAAAAACTGGTTTTCCACATGCTGAAGGCTAAAACTAGACCCATGCCTATCACCATGCACAAAGCTATAGTCAAAATGGATCAAATACTTAAATATTAAAATAGAAAAACAAAATCTTCTGGAGGAAAATGTGGGTAGAAATCTTAAAGACACAGAAGTAGGTAGAGAGCGCATGAAAAAAACCAAACTGCATAGGAAATACTTAAAGGATCAACTAGGATCTCATCTTTTTGAAAAGTTTCCGTACTTCAAAGCAAATCTCCAACACAATAAAAAGAAAACCCACAAACTGTGAAAAAATTATAGCTGACTGTCCCTTCAACAAAGGCCTTCTATCTAGAACATATAAATAATTTTTTAAAAATCAGGTTCCAAAAATTCAAAGACCCAACCAAAAAAAATGGGCATCTGAGATGAACATACACTTCTCAGAGAAAGAATTCAAATGGCAAGTAAATATATGAAAAAAATGTTCAACATCATTGGTCATTTGAGAAATGCAAATTAAAACAACACTGAGATTCTATCTCACTCCAGAAAGAATGGATAGCATCAAGAAGTCAGCCAATAACAAGTGTCGGAGAGGCTGTGGACAAAAAGGAACCTTCCAGACACTGTTGGTGGGAGGGCAGACTAGGACAACCACTATGGAAATCAGTGTGGGGATTCCTTCAAAAGCTAAGATTGGAGATCCCATTCAAGTCAGCTACTGCCTTCTTGGGTATTTTTCCAGAAGAACTGAAAACCTCATACCACAGTGATATATGTGCATCCATGTGTATAGCAGTGCAATTTGTCATAGCTAAATTCTGGAAACAACCCAGATGCCCATCAACTGAAGAACAGATAAAGAATGTGGTATTTTTACACAATGGAATCTTATTCAGCCATAAAACAGGATAAATTTGAGTCTTCTGTCAGTAAATGGATGCAACTGGAGAACATACTCTTAAGTGAAATAAATCAGACCCGCATGTGCAAACATCATATTATTTCTTAGTGTGAGAACCTGAAAGAGAAAAATGGAATTTGAAGGGTACAATAGATACTGGGAAAAGACAATGAATTTATTCAAAAAGAAAGGGTTACTGAGTTGAGGAGAAAGACAAGAGA